GTTGCTGCCATGGAATTCAAAATGAGCTAATATTTTTCATGAAATAGTAAAATATCTCACTTTCAACATCTGATATGTTGTCTATGTTCTGTTGTGGAAAAAAAAATGTCAGTTTATGAGATTTGCAAATCATTGCATTGTTTTTATTTACATTTTACACAATGCTCCAACTTTTTTGGAATCAGGGTTCTACATGTTATGGCACAGTCATTCAGACATACATTGCAGATATGGTACATAACAGTGTCCAGTGAACTGGTGTCCCAGAGGTGAATACAAACACAAGCAGAGATTTTCCGTCTCCAGTGTCATCAAAACTCCAGGGGCTGGAGGACAGGAATGGTGTGTGTTAACTGGGCCGTTAATTTACTTTTCAAATTGACCTTTGCTTATTGACACTCAACCTTATGATTGGAAAGAATGCATGATTATGAATGCAAGAGAGAGAGGGAGAGAGAGGGAGGGAGGGAGAGAGAGAGAGGGAGAGAGGGAGAGAAAGAGAGGGAGAGAGAGAGATAGAGGAGGTGGGAAACATCTGAGGAGGATGTAAAGAGCAGGAAAGTAGCTGAGACAGACAGAAAAACAGATGGATGGACAGAACAATGGATTCTGAAGATAGAGATACAGGCAGCCTAGAGGAATGCAGCTTTGTCTGGTGTGGACCTGTTTGGATGTGGGGAGCAACCAGTCCGTGATGCAGATTGTGCGTGTGCTGTATAAATACAGCCACTGCTGCCAGTAATGTGTGCCAGGTGATGATGGGGGCTTTATTTCCTTAAAGTGCAAACTGTAAATATTTGCTGGTGACAGGATTGCTGAGAATCCTGGAGGAAGCCCCCAGGCAGAGATAAATCTGCCGCTTATGTGGGAGTGACGGAACGAGGGGGTAATCTCAAAAAATGTTGGAGAGCTCTGGAGAATTTGAAAAACCGTGCCTTTCCCGTAAAATGGAACATGTGTGAATGCTCTAGAAGGTTCAGCTGAGACATTCATCCACAAGAAGAACGAGAAAAACACAAGAATGTTCCTGAACCCAGCCAACCTTGCATCCGTCCATATGGGTGCAAATATCATTCTCAGGCTCCAGTCTGTTTTTTAGGGAGGGCAGCAGAGTCAATCACCCAATCACCTCCTCTCACCTCCTCCCGTGTCCTCTCCTCCAAAATCCAAAGGAGAAACAAGAAGCGCAATCTTTTCAACATCTGGTTCCTGGAGGTCTGCTCCTGTCACTGACAGTCTGTTTACCCTGGTCCCTGTGACCCATTGCAGGCATGAGCTGCTCCATCGCCGCTGTCAGTCAGGTTTGAGCCGCTGCTCTGGGCCAGGATTTAGGAGGCTGGGGACAGGCTTCAGGCTAAACCAACAATCACCGCAAAACAAACTGAGGGCAAAAATGCGTTTACCTAAAACCAGAAGATCAGTGTTTCCTATTGTCGCAGAAATGGGCTCCGCAGATGCAGTGTGACATACTGGTTGACTTGGCTTTCAGCTGAAAAGATTCTCAGGAGGTTTGTGTCAATCCTGTATCCTCGTACATGCGCTAAACCCCTATACCTTCCACAAATCGATTAACTGCACGATAAAGCAATGTTTACTTTTTATTGAATGTTACTCAACATGTGGATTGAGTATTGATATTGTACTGCAGCTACATAATACTGCAATATTTTTTAGGCTGTGGTTTTTAGTCAGTGTTGTTGTTAACTGTTTCCGCTCACAAATTCAGCTGTCAGTTTTGTTTGTGTGAGTGAGGGGAGCTCTTCATGGGGGATCCTGAGAGAAAATTAGAACCAGAAGCTTTTCAGAGGAAGCAATTGAATAAATGTGTTTATTTTCCTGAAATATTTGCAGCACATTACCCGGCTTGTTCTGACCTACAGTATCCACTAGGTTATGTAAGCCTTTCCATTAATGATTTGTTTCTATATAAATTAGGGAAATTTGCCTGTAGAATCACTTGAGAGAATAACTGGCAGCAAGCCCACTAACATGGGCTCTAGTGAAGCCTGCAGGAGTTGGTCAATGTCTCTCAATCCAAACGTTTGGCGGAGGGGGATAATGCTTGAAGATAAGAGGTCAAGAGGAGCTTCCTCTTCTGACAGGAACTGAGACTGACCCAAGGCAGCTCTTGGTGATATATGGGATATTATGGCTGATCTTTCATTTCCTGTAAATGGTTGTGATTAATGTGTCCTTGCAGAGCAGCAGCTCTTTGACTCTACACATTTCCCAATGCATCCATGTGCATCTGCAGAACTTTAGTATGTTAACCCTTTAAAGTCTTCCATTTTTAATTGGGACTTTTTGACAAAAAAATTGCAAATTTTTTGGTAAAAATGCATTTATAAGGCAAAATTTGAGAGGCAAAATCCTCTAGTTTCTGGAAAAGTGCACAGGCTGTACACCTTCATGCAAATTAGTTGAAACAAGCTGTGAAAAAGGCAAATGATGGAATTTTTTTTTTTTTTTTTTCAAATTTCAACTAGACTTTTGGTTTGAATCACATTGATTTACTTATGTTGATACATAATATGAGGTCAGCGCTCTCTCAGGGGCACATCCATCGCATATAACGTCTGATTCACAATCAACTAGCCGGGGAAACAAAACACCACAAGTAATCAGTGACATGGGGTGTAATACCGGTCAATGTAAGAACTACACATGCACAGTTTGTACATCACGCACCCCGTAAATATTATGAGATTTCTTATGCATTATGATTTCATTGTGTCCTGCTGAAATAAATACAGTTGCAAGAAAAGGTATGTGAACCCTTTGTAATTACCTGGATTTCTGCATAAATTGGTCATAAAATGTTCATCTAAGTCACAACAATATACAAACACAGTCTTCATAAACTAATACCTCACAAACAATTATATGTTTTCATGTTTTTATTAAACACAACATGTAAACATTCACAGTGCAGGGTGGAAAAAGTATGTGAACCCCTAGGCTAATGACTTCTCCAAGAGCGAATCGGAGTCAGGAGTCGGCCAACCTGGAGTCCAATCAATGTGACGAGATTGGAGGTGTTGGTTAAAGCTGCCCTGCCCTATAAAAAACACACCAGATTTGAGTTTGCTGTTCTCAAGAAGCATTGCCTGATGTGAACCATGCCTCGCACAAAAGAGCTCTCAGAAGACCTGCGATTAAGAATTGTTGACTTGCATGAAGCAAGTTACAAAAGTATCTCTGAAAGCCTTGATGTTCATCAGTCCAGGGTAAGACAGATTGTCTATAAATGGAGACAGTTCAGCACTGTTGCTTCTCTCCCTAGGAGTGACTGTCCTGTAAAGATGGCTGCAAGAGCACAGCGCAGAATGCTCAATGAGGTGAAGAAGAATCCCAAGTTTATCAAGACATTTCACAGGAGAACTTAAGACCATCTGTCCGCCAACTGAAGCTCAACAGAGGATGGGTGATGCAACAGGACAACGACCCAAAGCACAGAAGTAAATCAACAACAGAATGGCCTCAACAGAAGAAAATACGCCTTCTGGAGCGGCCCAGTCAGAGTCCTGACCTCAACCCGATTGAGATGCTGTAGCATGACCTCAAGAGAGCGATTCACACCAGACATCCCAAGAATATTGCTGAACTGAAACAGTTTTGTAAAGAGGAATGGTCCAAAATTCCTCCTGACCGTTGTGCAGGTCTGATCTACAACTACAGGAAACGTTTGGTTGAGGTTATTGCTGCCAAAGGAGGGTCGACCAGTTATTAAATCCAAAGGTTCACATACGTTTTCCATCCTGCACTGTAAATGTTTACATGTTGTGTTCAATAAAAACATAAAAACATATAATTGTTTGTGAGGTATTAGTTTAAGAAGTCTGTGTTTGTCTATTCTTGTCACTTAGATGAAGATCAGATCACATTTTATGACCAATTTATGCCGAAATCCAGGTAATTTCAAAGGGTTCACATACTTTTTCTTGCAACTGTACAAAAACAAAGACAAAAAGGCAGGTTCTTACTTGAGATCATGAATCGGGAGTAAAGACTGAAAAAATTGCAGCTTGTTTTATTTTGCACGAGGATGTATGAGGCTGAAATCAAAGTTACTCTACATGAGCTGAAATACATGAAGGACTTTTTTTTCCCCCAGTTTTGCTGGTGTCGGTGGGTTTGATCATATTAATCACTAAATCTGTGTTAGTTTATGCATTATTTTGTGCAATAGTTTGTGCATTATTTTACGAATTAGTTTACGCATTATTTAATGCATTAGTTTATGGATTATTTTGCGTACATTAGACATTGGGCCTCATCTAGCTGGCAGCTTACGTTTCCTTCATACTGGCATTTACTGGTGATGACTGGGATTTATTACACTTTTCAGGCACTTGTTTGGACATTCAAACAAAATTTACAAGAATATGAGAGCAAACCGAAAGTATGCTTTTAATTCTTTAGCATCTAAATCAAACATAGGCCTCTTTTTTCTCAAATGTTAAAAATAATCAGAGAAAAAAGGAAACTTTTCTTCCCCCTTTAATATTTGGCTTCTCTATGAAGAGGGTCATAAAATACAATATTGAAATGGTAGCAGCATAAAAAGTTACTGAACGATATGAATTTGTTTCAATGTGCTAATGCATTTAATGCGCCATATGTAGAGGAAAATTACTTAAAGGGTCGATCCATTATGAATGCTAGCTTACAATGGCTGACTTAGCCATATTAGAAGATGTGGCGAGAGAGCATTTTCAGAGACCAGGCTAATGGTTTTGGGGAGAGTGGTGAATGGCTGGTGAGCTGGTTCCCATCCCCGAAATATCCACTGTTAAGGCTGAGCAGCACCACGAGGAAAACAGGGAGAGCTCGCCCACTGCTAGTTTTTAAAGATGTGCGGTGAAATGGATATTCAGGTGTTAAAAGGCTGCATGAATTACAGCGTAAAAGAACAAAACAAACACTAATATATCAGTATGAAAAATTTGAAATTCTCTGCACATTACTGCACACTACTGCCCACTACTGCACATTAGGGCGGCACAGTGGGGCAGTGGTTAGCGCTGTCTCCTCACAACAAGAAGGTTGTGGGTTTGAACCCAGCCTGGGGCCTTTCTGTGTGGAGTTTGCATGTTCTCCCCGTGTTCGCGTAGGTTTTCTCCGGGTACTCCGGTTTCCCCCACCCTCAAAAACATGCATTATAGGAACACTCCTACCAGTACCCCTGACCAAGGAACTGGCTTTAGAACTGGAGTTGGTCCCCGGGCGCTGCTCTGTGGCTGCCGACTGCTCCTAACTATAGGATGGGTCAAATGCAGAGGACAAATTACCCCACGGGGTTCAGTGAAGTATATCTTATCTTACTTCGCATTACTACACATTACTGCACGTTAGGCATTACTACACATTACTGCACAATATTACTGTGCGTTACCTCCTCTGATTGGAGGAGCGGTTGAGCTCTGAGGACTCAGACTGTGCTGGAGGGAGGGGACTGTTTTCCTTCGCTTTATACCTTTCTTTCCCCTCCATTCCTGCTCACTATTTTCTCTCTCATTCACTCTCCCCCCTTTTCTCTTCATCTTTTCAACCTCCTGTTCAGTTTTATTCATCTTTCCCATTATGGCTGTCTGTGATGGTGCTGTGTAGATTATTCCCTGAGGTAGGGAGTGTGGGGCTTTTCAGTTGCAGGTGATGAGGTGAGCAGCTGACTGTGGTAGAGGCCCCAGTATAGGGTGTCTGGGGGGTGTGTTGCACTGATAAACACAGGAAATGAGCTGCTGCAGTGCAGAACTAGACCTCCCCCCCCCCTCCGGCCTCCTGTATCCCAGAATCCCACCATCTGGGCCCCTCATCAGTACAGTGGCCAGAGTTGCTGGGATTAATGGTGAGTGCAGGCCTCAGTCCTTCCCCCCACCCCGCCTGTCAGCAGCCCGTCCCCCAAACTGAGAGGGTCACCAGGACTGAGAATGTGCAGGACAAGGAATGATGACATACTTCATGGGTGATGAGATTCATGCAGTGTGTTTATCCTGAGTCTCAGTATTTCTGATCTCCACGGATACCATGATTCTCTTAGGGCTACCTTAACAGAAACTTAACAATAAAGTCTTTGCATGGGAAGCATGCATGTCACTATCTGTGTAATAAATAAATTAATCTAAACGGCTCATCAGTTTCAGTTCAGTTCATGAGCATTGATACTGAATATTTTAGAAAAACCAGTAGTTTGTTATAAAACGGGGAACTCGCCCTGAGTAATTATGGGCTGTGATTCAGGCGGCTCTTCCATGATCCCCAGAGGTAACAGGGAGTCACATCACTGTTATTATTTTTATGGGTCCATGGGGAAAAAAGGATGTTTCCCAAGATGATGTACAACTTGTTTAGAGAGGTATTATATGGATTGTGTTATAACCAGGTAAAAACAAAACGCTTTGTTTCCATAAAATACAGATTTTACTAATGAAGTAATGAACAATCAGTGAACTACTAGCAGATGTCTACTTTAGTCGTTACATGCAATTTTTGAATGAGCTGGTGATCTGAGACCAGTATGTGGTATGTCTGTTGCCAAGAATATCTTTAGAATGGAGTTAGTTCATTGTTGCACTGCTCAACGGAGCGTGTTCGTCAGTGTACCATTTGCACCTGTGTGGTGCTTCGTTTTTTCCCTCAGTTTTTATTAGATTAAGGTTAGTGTTCAGGCTTATGGCTAGGGAGGGGCCATCATGGTTTTTGCTTCATATTTCTGAGTAACAACAAATGTCAATTTTCTTGACCGGAGTCCGCTGTAATTTACATCATTTAAATTTTTCGCCACCATGCTAATCCTCTTTGTAGTCTAAAAACTACATGTCCCATGACCCTCCTGATTCCCGTGCAGCGGGAGTTTATTATGTGTTCGAAATTCCTAGCCATGGCAATTTCGACACCGAAGTTCGAATGGTTTCAAAACGTTTTAACAATTCCGGTTCCCACAGGGTGCTCGAGAGATGTTTCGAAACGTCACGTGATCGCTATCCGTCCACCGCAAAAAAAGTTTAAAAAGCCAAGGGAGAATACTAGTGTTTGAGGAGTTTTTTTGCGTTGAGTTGTGATGAGAGATTTTGTGAGGATTTTGCTACAGTTGTTCAAAATACAATATAGATAGATAGATAGATTTTCTAAAGCTTGCCAGGTACTCTTTCCAATGTGTCAATAAGTTGAAGCATGTTAGTTTATTTTTTGTGTTAATAAACTAGTAATTTGATTTCAGATGGTCGAGAAGCAGAGAAGCCGCTGAATCACAAAAAAAGTGCAGAAAATATTATCCCTAAATGAAAATCTTGTGCAAAATGTTTCTGAATCTTAAGCTTTATACCACATTTTATTGATGTGTATAATCTCATTGAGGTGCAATACCAACTAGCAGTGGCAGGCAGTGGACAGAAAACAAGGAGGGCGATAAACATGTCTTTGAACTGCTTATTAGTCTTGATCTGTTTTCAGTCAATTTCCCTGGTAAAAGACACTGTAACTCTCCCCTCTCAGGTGTAGCTAATTGTCTTCGTTAAGACGAGAAATCAAATGCACCAGTTGAACGCAACAAAGAGCGCATTTCAATCTTTTTCAATTAAACAATCATTACGCACAGGTTTGACGGCTTGCTTAGGCTGTGACAAAATTTAAGGCGGAAAATCCACAGTGGTTTTTTCGTGGAGTTGCCCATTAAGGCATGTGGATTAAACATTTTATAGAATTTATTATTCACTCGCCTAAACATTTCATTATAAGGGAAACTAACATGTTGACCAAGAACAATGATTGAAATCGGATCACTAATCTCATCCGTTTCAAGGGATGTTTTCCGCCCCCGCCCAGTTTTCCGTCCACCGCCCGCCACTGCCAACTAGGCAGAATCAAAAATTGTAATTTTCAAGTCCATTCATGTATAAAAGGCTGATCTGACACAATCAATCTCAATGAATGAATGAATGATTGAATGAGAACATTTAACTGCAAAATAAACAAAAAGTGCCACACAATAAGAAATAGTCATATCGTACAAAAAAAAATAATTAAATAATTGACTGATTGTGCCTGTGTCAAAACTATTAATATTTTTGGATTTGTGAAAAGGGGGGCTTCAGCACATTAACACCAAAATAATTAAAGGCTGCAATGACAACTTCTGCCAGTGGATGCCAATGCTGAGCGAGCAAGTTTTGAAATGTTTCAAAACATTTCGAAACAATGGTTTAAATGTTTTGAAATGTTTCGAAGCTTCAAATTTGCCATCCCTAGAAATTTCCAGCCCCTTACCATAGCTATTTGTTTCCTTAGCCTGTTGAGACTATACTAATTAGTTAGCCACTCTACTCTCCACTTAGTAATGTTTAGCTTGCTAGATATCATGTTTTGCGACTTGCGCCATTTTGCTTTAATAGCCAAGCATCTTTGGCCAATGTTTGTTTGCTTAAAAACTCGGTAGCTAGTGAACCAGCTAATCAGCCTTGTCTAAGCATAACTGACATAACTACGTAGCTAATTCATGTCTACTTGTCCATCTGATGCTAATTAAGTACCCAAATAATTGCTGTTTACTGTTTCTGGTAATTTATATTTACCTGGGCTGTTTTTCAAAAGCTAGTGTTGTTCACTTCAAAGTGCACATAATGAGGCCACCGAAGTCATTTTGGAGTGCATTCTAATCAAAGGTGCGTAAAACTCATCCCTTCAAAGGGCCCAAAACGGCTGTTTGCGAAGTGAGCAGGCGATGGTCACTTTTCTTTCACAATATTGTGGGAGGACCCGAGCCTGTTGATGTGTGATTGAATGTCATTCAAGAAGGGTGTGTTTGATTAGATGACCCTAAGCAACACGAGTGTAAATGCTGTCGCGGGCGCAGTACCTGCCATGCGTATCATCTAATTGAATGATGAGTGTTATTGAAGGAATAACAGCCTCTCTAGCGGTGTTACTGATGTGCAACCTCATTGTTCTTGTCCAGTCGCTGCCATCTTGGAACCCTTCTACTCCTGGAAAAAGCGGGACTATACTGGCGTTGCACATGTTCAACACCAGAGCGACACTCTTGACATTTTATTGACGAGGTGCGCTACTTGTGAAAGGGGCAGCAGGGAGTAGGGTTTTCAGTAACATTTGTTTGGAATGCCATTGGACACATTTTGCGGCTGCCACTTTCTGCTTAAGCAAGTGTAAACAAACGCAGCCAGGTCATGGGAGAACTACTTTCACTGGCCATTAATCTGTTTCGCAGTAGTTTTATAACCAACCACATAGCTTTCATAAGGCAACAAGTATTCACAGGTAAAAATAAAAAAAAACAACATAACTAGTGTTAGCCAGTTGAGTGTAGTAAGCCATCAAGCTAGGTTCGTCAACTTTCTGTGTGCTTACAGCTATTAACCACCATTTTTGTCATTTTCCAGTGCGTTTGATTAGACAAATCATATAACACTATGAAGGGAAATGACTTCACAAGGTGTAGGACATAGGGGTTGCCCAATGGAATGAAACACAGTTCTAGTAAGGCTAGCTGAGCCAGCGAATGAAACTGTTGGCTGGCAAACTTAGCCAGCGATCCAGTTTACCAATTTTGGTAGTAGGCTAACGTCTTATTTGATGCACATGTATGCCAGCTTGTGAAATGCTCACGGCTCAACGCTAGCTAAGTAGTCAAATAATGGCAAATTACTGTTTTTATTAACTTAACTAGCTAGCTAGCTATTTTGCTAGCTTAGCAAGTTATATTCGGTGAATGACCATGCTAGCTTGCTTGCTAAATAACAGTGAGTGTCAGGAAACTAACCATTCACTTTTTTCTTTCGATTTACTGTAGCTATGTGCACAAGATGTAATTAGGTAACTAGAAGGCAAGCTAGGTAGTTCGCTGGCATAGCTAGTCATATATGTTGCACATGAATGCTAGCTAGCTAGCTAAATGGTGAAATTATAGCTATCCGCTGTTATCCATTCATTTTTAGGTATGTACTGTAGCAAGTTAGCTGATACTGGCCCGCTGTGTTGTAATGGTTGCACGAAAATAGCCAATGGCAATTTAGGTCACTGATTGGCTTCCGTTGAGTTACGTTGTGAATGTTTGCTGA